AAAGAAAAAAGAAAAAATCAATTCCGCTGGTAATAATAAGCGATCGCAGGGAAATCGATATAACGCGAAGGAGGAGAGAAGGAAGAGATTCTTAACTGCGAGAGATAGCTAGGTATAAGGTATAAAAACAATCGAGGAACTTGTTGCGAAGCCATATCGAGAGTCATTTCTACGACGGAGATACGATCGGCCGATCGAGCTCGATAAATCTTTCGCGACGCCAATGCAGGCGAATGCAACGATGCTAACGATGCTAAGTTGCAACGAGTCCTCGTTCAAAGGGCAAAAAGTAATTGCCAAGTTTGTCGACGAGCATTCACGCGTAAGTTCGTCCACGAATTGGAATTAAATACTTTTAATAGCTTAGCAAATAAGAGTTGGATAATCTCGATGCTTGCCGCCAGAATGCATCATCTACTTGCAATTACGTTACGTCGACAATGGCCTTTTGTTTTTCGCGCGATTCTTACGAAGATGTTCCATTGCCTATTCGCGGCTTCGAAAGGAGCCTCTCATTCTCGTGGAAAGATAGAACGGTCGTTCGATTTACAGGGAAAACGAAAACGAGGCTAAAAGAGCACTTCCGGTGACGTAAGAAATGAATGTACCTAATAGTCTTGGAACGTGGATGTTTTTGTAACAGCCTGTATAAACTCAGGGTTCAATGCGCTGTGCCGTATTGCCCGTGTCGAGATAATAAACTAATCGCTCTATTTATTTTATTTTTAAACTCGCGATAGAATTATTGCCGCGTGCGAACGCACGTTCAACGCAAACTATGCACCTTGTGTTCACGGATCCATACATTTTCCTAAACACGCACTCTCTCGTGCAACCCACGCTAGTTAGTACGTACACCCCCGTTCATAATATCTTTAACAACGATTATCTCATTTCAAACACAAGAATTACAAAGACTCGTGCAATTAATATTGCACTAATAATATCATCAATCTGACGTAACGAAAAAAAATTGAATTCTTTCCCGGTTCTTCTCGATCGTTTTAATTCCACGCAACGCGATCGCGCTGTGCAGACTCGCGACGGGGCATAACAAATATTATAAAAATTATTATAAAGTAGAATAAAATATAATTATTACAAGCAGTATGTTATAAGCAACAAGCAACAATGAAATGAAATATGAAATATAAATTAAGTTACTAAAATATCAAAGCAATAAGATTCGCATTTATTAACATTTATCGAATAAAACATTCTGATCAACAATTGTAATTAATCGTTTCACATATTGCGCAACTTCCGGTACCAATGCCCGCGCAATGGAAACGTCGTGTCGCGAAACGAGGCAACGAAACTTCTGGAACGGAGTTTCTAACTCTCTCTCGACATATCGGTTTGTCTTTTATCGTGAACACGGGCAGATCCGACGCGGGAACTCGCTTCAGCTGAAGAAGAATGCGTGAAAGCATGGGGGGAGGGAGGGAGGGAGGGAGGGTAGGCAGCCGGATCCGAGGCGCGGAATTGACGGCTAATTTTCGCTAAAAAGCGTTGAATCGCAGCGGGAGTAAGCCGGCAGGGCCGCCGGAGAATGGAGGAACGCCGGAATGGGGAGGAACGGACGGAACAGAGGGAAATAGGGAAACGGTTAAACATCCGGGGAAAAACGGTTTTTTACGTTTAATGAAAAACCGCGCGGCTGCATCGCGTGTGCCTGCATCAATACCGCGCAAGTTTATTCATCCGGCGCCAATGAGGAGAACAGTGCGCGTTCCCGCACGCTTTTAATTCGCGGTATCGCGGCCCCGCGCTTCATTCAGCCATGGCTAATTAATCGGGCTAATAATTAAAAACGCGTGCGTGCCACGCGACCCCGTCATCAGCCGACTTTTCTCTCTCGACTTTCGTGTTTGCCAACGAATTGTTCCTCGCTCTGGCCTGGAATCTCTCTCTCTCTCTCTCTCTCTCTCTCTCTCTCATTGTGATCATTTCGTGATCACGTAGGAAAAACGAATATAACACGTACATATTTCGAACACTCGTTCTCGTTTGAACACGTCACGAAAGAACCGCTGTTCCGACTTTATGGAACTTTTCGGTTGTTCCGTGTTCCGCGGTCCTTCGATTTGAAGGATAGCGAGGCAGTAATTTATATGCAAATTGGACTCGGGCTCACCTGTCGATAAAACCATCTCCGTCGCCGTCGCATGCCTGGAACAGCTTCCTCACGCGTTCCTCGTCGCAGATGGAGCCTGCTTCACTCTCAGCATCCGCGGTTTGTGACATCTTCACTCTACTTCTTGTTTATCCATTGTGACGAACTATCGGCGCACTAGCCATGTCGTGTCGTGTCGTGTCAATTCTTCCGCAAGCTTTTTTGCCCTCCTTGTCACGTTCGAGAGACCATCTCGATGTCGCTAATCGAGCTTTTTATCGCTTATCGCTCTGCTGCATCTTCTCTTTATGCTCGCGCGTTCGAATAGACCGATTAGTCCGAAATAGACTAGTTTTCCCAACGAGACGTTCTCAGTCACTTGCCTCAACTGCCGGGAGTCAAACGCGTCAAAGGGCCAACACGGTGGATCGGTTAAGTCACGTGTTGCATCGCGATCTCTCATTAATCGATCTCGGGAGACGTAATTCGAATCGTCGACCGCCACCGCGGCATCAGGTCCCGGGAACGGAGAAGGTCTACGAACCTCGGATAGAGGCGACCGCTATTTTTAGACCGCTTAAATCACGTAGATTCCCTTGTTCCACGAGATTTCGCCGACACATAAAGTATAAACAGATCGCGGCTAGACGAGCGCGGCTAGTCAATCTCCCGGCTATATGTGTGTATATATTTTCGGCGCACGAATTTCACGAGCATGTTTTAACGCGAGGTTGCGTGGGCGTTCGTCTTATCACTGGATCGTCGTCAAAAGGGTGAGACGGTTACGTCTTTCCGGTGTGACCGTGCACGCACACGAAATCCCGCAACCGCTGTTCCCAGTGTCACCGAGTCACTAACCCTAACCTCAAAACCGGACTCGAGACTCACCCACCCTCGCGAGCCGTACAGCGGCAATAAAAACTATCGATTGAGCGTTCCGCGGTCAAAAAACTTTGACAGCTCGCGCCATCTTGAAATTTTCGAGCACGACGAAAACAAAGATGGCGGCCGCGCCGCGAGCCGGCAGGCGGTATATTCGAATCTCGCTGAGAGATGTCGCCACCGGTGACGACGAGTTTGCCCCTCGTAAAAACTATAAACTGAATTGAAAATGTTGCGAAACACGGTGTGAAGTATATAGTGAAAATAAATTATCTTTATTACACCAGTGTCGTTGAACAAAAGTAAAACTAAAATTCGTCTGCACATGCGAAACGTAACTTAAGAGTATAGGTTACAGATGCATGCAGTTTGTATGATAATCTCGTTTAAGACTTCAACTTCTCAGCCAGAGCAGGTAAAAGTTTCTTCAGTTTGCCAGCGTCGTGGCTGAAGGCCCACATTATGCATCGGGTGTGCTCTTCGGTAGGCAAATCTCGAAGTTCTTCGTCTGTCTGGTACCACTGAACACCTTTCTCCTTGATTCGGTCTGCTAGACTTTGTAGATTCTTATTCCTTTCTATGTCCCACGTGATACTCTTGTCTGCAACTTGAACGTTCCTCAGCTTCTTGTAGTCTCCTCTCACTTCCTTATACGCTCTATGAAAAAAGAAAAAAAAATTATACAAATATCTTAATCACAGATAGTATTATGCAATAACATATACTGATTTTAATAATCTATGATAAAAAAAAAATATACTTAAGAAATCCATTATCCTCGATCTTATATCTGTCGGCCAACGGCTCGAAGGCTTGCACCAAATCGATGGGCAAATAATTGAAGTTCTCTTTTGCCCGGCCATTCACATTATAATCCGTGATCCAATTCTCGAATACTTCGACGGCTTCTTTCATGTTCTTGATCTTTTGCTCGTCCTTTGTGCACGATATCACTCGCTCAGCCCTTTTCACCAGGCCGGCGATCGCGTGGTACTGATAACTTACGTCCCTACCCTCCAACGACTTGATACTCTGCAAAGCTTTCTCCTTATCTTTGAAACTGAGCCCGCTCTCCTCTTTCTCAGTCTTTTCTCCTTCAGGTGACGGTTTTGCGACCTTTTTATCCGGTTCGTCGTAATTCTCCTCCTCGTTGCTGGACGAACTGCTATGACTCCTTTTCACACCTTTGTTCTTGGCATTTTCGTCAACCTCCATGTCCTCGTTACTCTCGGATCCAAACTTCTCCACCACCTGAGCTGTGAGTTTCTTCAGTTTAGCCGGGTCTGGACTGTAGCCCAACATGATGCACTGAACGTGTTCCTTAGTTGGAAGTCCCCGGAAGTCACCGACGTCGGTCTCGTACCATTGTATGTGCTTCTGTTTGATCGTATCGATGATCTGCTTCAACCTTCGATTTCTTTCGATGTCCCAAGTGGTCTCCCCGCTTCGGGTTTTAACAGCCCGCAGACTTTTGTAGTCGCCCTTCTCTTTCTTGTACGCGCTGAAATACCAGGAACACGTAAGATATTTACAGAGATATTTACGAACGTATTTATACTGGATGAATCAGAGAAAGATTAAAGTAAACACAAATAAATGCTCTGACATGTGACATTTACATTAGAAGTGAAGCACACCAATGTATAAACAATGCAGCAGCAAGCATTGGAAGTCACAAATATTCGATATCTCCGATTCGATATCTGGACTCTAACAATAATATCAAGCGGAAACAACATATCGAAAAACAAAAACTGACCGAATCGAATTAATATCAAGAATATCGGGAATTAATTTTTCCAGTAAAGTCAAGTAAACAACAAATAAATGATCATTCATTTTGAGAAGACGTATAAAAGGATATTTACCTATAGAATTCCTCCTCCAGAATGTCATATTTGTTGGCAAGGGTTCTGAAAGCTTTTATAGTCTCGATTGGCAAGTAAGCGAGGTTCTCCTTGCTGCGATTGTTCTCCTTGTAGTCAGTTAGCCAATCCTCGAACACTTTCAGCGCTTCGCGAAGATTGGCCAGCTTCTCCTCGTCCCTGGTGATTTGCAGCGTTCTTTTCGCGCGAGCCACGAAACTAGCGATCACGTGGTACTGATAACTGATATCTCGACCGTCCAGAGCCTTCAGCGTGTCCAGGGCCTTCTGCTTGTCCTTGAAGCCCATCGCCGACTCTTCCGGTTCCGAGGATTTGCTTCGTCCCATCGCTGAAAATCCCACTCGTTCATTGTCCTGCGCGTATAAATCGAGGAAGATCGCGTGCAACGCGTCGCAGGCACGTGAGACACGGCGCAAATTCGTACGATCGATTAGAAGAGAGTAACCAATCGCTAGAAACGGCAAACAGAGGCGGAGAGACACTCGACGAGCGTGTGACGCCAGCATGTCACTTTTATCGTTGACGCAGTTATTGACTTATGGAAGGATCAATACAAACTGAACAATCGACTAAACTGGAAATCACACTACACTAATTTGTACGTCGCGGTTTCTCGATTCAAATATGATCGAAACGAGATATCATCGAGTCACTTAATAAAAAAAAAGAAACAACTCAGATAAGACTTTGAAAGAAAGACTTTGTCGAACACTTACCGAAATTTTGCAAAAGAGATGGTCAGTTCCTTGTGGTGTATATCCGATTAAATCCGATCACTAATACTGTTTTCAACAGAAGTGAAGACAAATCGCACCACGTAGCAGTTTCAAGAAACTGAGACAGACTTTTCGATGGAATTGGCGTTCAGACTGTGCGACTGACAGTGGCAAACAGATTTACCGGGACCCGGCTTCGGTCGGCAATATTCACCAACGATACATCTGCTGGCGGAGGGAAAAGGATGGGCGATTCGCAAGTCAGCGGAAACGAGAGGGAATGATATAAACATATCTGCTGTGTGTCACAGCCCGAAATACGCAGCCGACCTCAGTCCGTGGTCTTGGGCTTACGTCACTAACTGCTTATACCGCTGGTGAAATGAAGGATCGACATGGAAAGATCGCGTATGGTTCGCGCGTGTCTAGGTCAAGCTCGTATAATCGCTCATGTTAATCAATGCGACGCGACATATCGATCACGTTCCACCGTGTTTTCCTTTCAGTTTTGATTTCAGAGAAAGACAGCGGCGGCCTCTTCGATTTCTCGCGCATCTCGCTCGATGGCACCGGAAGAATAAACTTGGTTATGACGCTGTCCAGAAACCTTGAACGTTGAGGCTGTGTGTGTATGTGTGTGTGTTTCGATAGATTTATTTGATATTTACAGAAGTTACAGTATCCTGGTGAACTACTCGGACACGAGCATGTAACAACGATCACAAACGATTTGATCTCCCGGGCTACAAGATTTTTAGTCGATCATTCGAATTTCACTATTTACAAGATTTCGTGGTACGCGTGATTCGAGTCCCATGGATTTTCAAGCATCCATATTTGATAGCGATGGTGCTGAGAACAAAGATTCTTGAGGAATCGAATTAGCATAAAATATAATAAAATATTGCTACGAATTTTTATTCAATTAAGATAACGATACTCTGACTAATTTCTATTTAAATTAAGACAGTGCACGATCATGAACAAATACCGATTAACGTTCGAATCGCGTGTACCATTTAACACCTGTACACGTTATGCTTAGCCGTCTATACAATCGCATAACGTGTACAGAGTACGGGGTGATCTACAACTAGATGTTTTCTCGAGCAATCGATCCTCTCGACGAATACGATTTTCCATCCTGCGGTAAAGTTGAGAGAGATTCAACAGACACAGCTGCCTACGCCGAGACACGCGTACGAAGTTTGCTCGATCTTCGAGCTGGTGGTGGTAGCGTCTAGCAAGGTTGGCTGCGAGAGCGTCGGAGCAGCCGGTAATTGCGTTCTCTGTACGCCGTCGTACAAAATCGATGACGCTTCTCGTTCTCTGCTGATACCCTCCGTTTCCTGCGTGTATGGAATTCTCGGTAGTTCCTGGCTTCTGGATTCGGTCGGGGCGTCATGAGACGATAAGCGGCCGTAGTTCAGGAAGGTTTCTGTGTAGCTCGAAGGTGGATGGTGGTGACTTCCGTTGTACTCGTGCGTGTAATGGGGGTGGTATCTGTTCGACGGTGTCTTGAAACCCTCGTTACCGCCGAGATACTGGTGCAGGTGATGCAAACTCGATGGTCCGTACACTATTGTTTATAAATCGAATTTTAGAGATGGTTATATAATTCTTTGGGATTTTGATGGGAACAGTAAATCTCGGTAGAGATTTTTTTCTTTTTTACTAATAGGTTCGTTGATATTTTATAAATATATATCAATCGCTAGATTATACAATATATTGTATAAAAAATTAGTCATAGTATAATAATGGGATAATAATAATAGGATTGTTTCATCTAAAATCAAACAATCTAGCTTTATTATTTCTAATGATTTAGTATCTTGAGCTACCTAATTCTAATAATACTGAAAAGAATAAGAAATAAGAAAATATTTACAATTTCCATTTTTTTTTAAATCGAGAAATTTAAAAATATTTCTAGATTGAAATCGTTACGTATTTTTTGAGAATTTCAATGTTGATATCCATTTAAATAGAGCTCTCGATTTATTGGAGTTTAAGCAAACATTATTCTGCTCTTATTTTGGATCCATACTAGCCGAAACTATTTGCGAATAATTTGCGAATGACTCGCAGACTATTCGCGAACAGAAGCAATATTATTGATAGTGTGTCAGAGTCGCTGGCAAATAATAAATGTAAAAGCACTAACCTGCTGCTGTATTCGAATACATGGCAAGAACTGCATCACCATAGCCATTGCTGGGATGTTTCGCTAATTCGGAAACATCGTTCGAAGATGATATCTTCCCAGATATCGATTGACTTCTAACGCCATTCTGCACTTCGCTAGGAAGGCCGGACGATCCTGCAGAACCGTACGCCATATTGAAAAGTGCTTCCGGGTCACACACGAACTTGTACACGTATCTTTCTCCCGCCACCTTTTGCATTATCCCTTTCTCGTAATAGTACCTCAACGACCTGCTTAATTTATCGTAATTCATTGCTGGCCGATTCTTCTGAACCCCCCATCTTCGAGCCACCTAGGGACAGAAAATTAAAACGTAACAATGTATTCTTTAAATATTTCAACGAGTATCTCGCGAATATCTATCGAGCATGTAAGTTATTTCTACTGCTGTTATTTCTTAAATATTGGCTAACATTGGTATCGATGCTTTTTAATATTGTAATATTATATTACATTTTATATAATTTAATATTAATAGTTTTTAATATATGTAATCTGATGTAAGATATTAATTTAATTTTCGTAATCAAGCTGCAGATTTTTATTTCTTTAGCGAATTTCAGCATCGGCAATCTGCCTATAAAAATGACGCAGTTTACCTCTTCCGGTTCGATTAGTTTGAATTCCATTCCACGGCCGGTCCACGCAATGCAAGGCGCGTTCGCAGGATCGTCCAACAAGGTGACTAAAAACTGCCATAATTGAAGAGACCCTCGACGTTGCTGTTGATAGCCGACAGACATTTCACTCCAAGGTGACACGCCTGTCGTCGAGGATGGCCTCTTGCTAGTATACTCTGCATTCCACGAACTAGGTGATCCTTTCTTCTGGTAACAATTGCTCTGTCTCTCCCACGACGGGTTCCTGGCGTCTAGTTGAACTCCTAGCTCGGTCCACGTGGGGGTCACGCTTCTCTTACCATATACTTCCGAACTCCAATTCTCTTGCCGCGGGAAGAAAGCTTCACCGGAAGCTGGAACCGTCGATTGCCACTGAGACGCTGCGGAGGAAGTGCTGGCTGGTCGACTAGGCGATGGTGAACCTCTAGTGTTCCTTGTCCCGTTCCCGTACTGCTGCTGTTGCTGGTAAACTATGCTGTTGCCTGCGTGAATTTGCATGATCGAATTAACATTGCTGTTTCTTCGGTCTCAATCTCGTCTTGGCAAGTGGAGAAGATTTTATGAAATCTTATAGAAATTTGGTAGTATCTCTAGAGCGAAATTACGAGTATTTTTTGAGAATTGCAATGCTATTCATTTAAATATGAAATAATCGAGTGTGTATACAGATTCGTATGAATTTCGATGTACGAAACCTCGATCGTTAATTTCAATTAAATCAAATGTTGAACTGAAGAAATGCTAACTAGAGATCGATTGTTCAGGATTGCTTGGTATTTTTCTTATATTTTTCAGTAGAAAATCTCCAGAGATCGGCGGACGATGATTAAAAAGAATCGCTAGTCCACAGTGTAAGGTGGAAGAAGAGCAAATGGGTGAGGACGATGCGGGCGAAGAGAAGATGCTCGGAAGCGACGAGAAAGAAACGAAACGCCAAGCGACCGACGTATTAGCGATTGCACTCACGCGCGGTTGCCGGTGAAGTGCTCGTCACACAAATATCGGCAGGAAATTGGTTGATATTCAAAGCCCACGGGGTTGCCGGGATGGCGGAGCTCGCGGATAGCGGCACCGCCTGAAATACCGCGTAGAGCTCGCGCGATATGTATATTAATCGGGTGCTCTCCTCACAGGGAGAGCCCACACCACGATGCCGTGGTCCCTCGAGCCGAAAAAGCTATTCTCGAACCGTAATCCGGTTACGTTCCAAGTCGTGTACGGGGAATATTGAAAAATTGAGAACCCTCCTCCCGATACCGAGCCGGAATGCGACGCCGCCAGTCCCGATGCAACTACAATCCATCTTTCTTTTTTCTTTTTTTGCTCGTCAATTAAAAGTTCTCTGACTCTGTTCCCCGTTCGTAGGGGAACGGTCGAGGCTCGAGGACCTCCACGCGAGGTCCGTGTACATGGAACGGGGACTCGCGGTTGAAGATCAAGATGTAACAGCGTGTATCTTGGCTTGATATTAACGGGGACTCTCGATGAACAAGGTGAAATGAAGAGGAGGAAGGGCCGGGAAAGTTAATCGTGTCGGCAAGTTAGCTTTAGCTTGCTGGCAAACGTCGGTCGGATCCCGATCCTCGATGTAGACGAGACAGACAGGAATCGCAGGGGAAAGAGGGTTGAAAGCTGCGGGCCAATCTGGCACTCTCTCTCTACGAAGAGGGGCGAAAGGGGTCGACCTCAACGTGCAAGCGGGGCCAGAGGCTTTGCGGGTAGTTTTAGATTAAAATTAATCGCGAGCTGATGAAACCGGTGGCGATGCAGCAAGCAGGAAAAGGGTTGAAGCCGGGAACTGGTCAGGGGCGGTGCGCCAGAAGGGTTGCACGGAAAAGAGGACGGCCTCCACTCGTCCACTCTCAGACGAGCAGCTTCGCTTCTTTCCATCTCTTTCTCTCGTTCGCTCTCTCTGATCTATTCTCTCTCCCTTTCTCTCTCTCTCTCTCTCTCTCTCTCTCTATCT